CATCATTGTGGACGTACTCGGGGGCTGGTGGACAGACATGGAGGTAGCAGTGAAGGAGCTAGTTGGTAGGCGTCAGAGACGTCCTCAAGAAGATGCAGAGGGCATGCCTATCCATCACACCGAACATTGCACGTACTTTTAAGGTTGTGACACATTAGACATTATCTTTGTTTGTCTCCTGCTCTAGAACTTTGAACATTTAGCATATTTTAGAGTAAATTTGTTTAGTTTATTATATAGATACATATACTTATTTTAACCTTACTTTTTCATTGTACACTACCTTTTAATTCTAGTTCACTAGCCGGAGCACAGGCCACGCCTTGGCGCCCTATGTTCCTTCCAACTGTATAGCATACAGATAGTTTTTACTGCTGCATCATCATCATAATAATAATAATAATAATAATAGTAGTAATAATAATAATAATAATAATAATAATAATAATAATGACTTTATTGGATAACACAATTACTGGTAGAACCTGTAGTTCTCATTGTGGTCCAGTCACCAGTCGATGGTGACTGTTGCAGCACCTATGATTTTCATGGTAAGAATTGATTGCATTTTCCTCCATTTTTCTTAACTCCAATTCATAAATTGACAAAATGATAAACTCTACAAGTGCATGAACAAACGTCATTTTGTCACAAGGCTTTACTTCCACAGAACTTGATCCTCAGATCTTTAACACCTTTTTAATGTCTTTGCCAATGCAGACCTCCCTGCTGGTTAGTAAATATGCAGTAATTTTATGTATTATTAATTTTATGCACTCTTTAGTTCATTATTTTGATAGAATACTATAGGAGATTCAACTTGATGTAGATCTCATTCATGCATTTTTAGCAATGCATATTGAACCTGTGGTTAAATTGCAGGTAGTTTAGACGATGGAAAAAGCTTAAGGCAGGTGATTTCCAATCTGGAATCATTTTACGGCCAGGACATTACAACAGTCCTTGGTGGAGCTGCTATGGCTTTCTGGTACCTACAGCTTACCAAGTTAGTTGGTGGTGTTCCCCTAACACTTGCCGTTGGTTACCCTGTGTCCAGGAAATCCACTGCTGTTGAGTGTGCAATGCCATTGTTCCAACAAAAAGGAATGTGCATAAAAAGGGTAGATGCTATTATCCAAAAGGAAAAAAATACATCTTTTGAATAGGATCTAAACTGTATAATTGGTTAGGATTTGTTATCCTTTTCTTTTCTCATAGAAATTTACAAGAGGTTAACTTACATGTATGATGTTATTGAGATGTTGACATTACAACACATTAGCAAGCATTCAATTACTTGATGCAGGCAAAGAAAGTCACAATGTCAAAGGACACTGTTGGCAGTACTGTGCAGATAATATCGGTCACCTATTCCAAACTGATCCAAAGCTTCAAAAAACTAAAAATGGGAGATGAAGATTTTGAAAGGTAAGGAACATATTGCTGTTTGGAAAGTTCAGGTTTGTCCATCAACTTTAACCTAGAAAGAACACAGATATTAATGTAATAAAGGAGTAAAGTTGAGAATATCATATCACTCTTCTGAAAACATTGCAGATAAAACTAAAGCCATCAGCAGTGATGCTTAATATATGGCAATCAACTTACAGTTGCTGCTAGCCAAACTATGTTCATTGACTTTTTTCGAAATGATGAAGGTTGTAGTATTATTTACAAAGTTGATGTTCCCAAAATTCTTTTAAAAGTACAGACCAAGCAGGAATTAACAGGCAACAATACATGGCTTATGAGAATTATAAGTCAGCAGGTAAATTAATGCATGGCTTAATGACTTCGAAAGGTGAGCAAAATTATTCGGTAACAGTAATCTATTGTCTCAATAAGTAATTTATTGTCTCAATAAAGATTATTTACTGGAATGCTTCCTATTCCATTTGGGAAAAGAACAATTGGGAAAAAGTGAATAAAGGAGAGGTTGGAAGGAAAGTCTCAGCTGGAGAATTTGCTGAAAGACATCCCCAAGAGTGTGTCAGTAGTTCTGAAACTACACAATAATTACGAAGGAAAGACTAAGGATGTTCTTTTTAACGCCATTCAGGACGTTGTGGAGGAAATGGAAGTAGATGTCAGGAGTAAGGCCAATTTTTCCGTTTTGCTGTTTACAACTGGAAAGGTGAGAAATACACTGTACAGCTAATTAGAATGACTACACTGTATGTCAATATGGCGAGCAACATTATTATTTGAGACCTCGGGTATCGTTCTTGTTTATGCTACAGAATAAAAATAAGTATTTGCTTCCGGTACTAATAAGTTGTCCTTGTTTGCTTCAGGAAATGACAAAGTTTTTGTGCTTAACAAAATGCCAATGAAAACTTCTCAACGAGTGTCTGTACATGTACTGCTTATAGAACCATCTGTCAGAGGTCTATTTACCTTGAGGTCACTGAAAGTAACAATGTTATTAATTAACAACACCATGATATCATATTTGTAAAGTGTAATCATATCTTGTAGTGCAGGTGATCATTGTTAGCAGCTGACAACTGAACTGTCCAGTGAAACTGAAATCTTTTCCATGTACCATAATAAATTATGTACACATCATATGCAGCACGTATCACTTTAGCCTTGACGAAGGGCTATTGCTCGTCAGCTTTTTAATTCCCTTACAATGATTTATTCACTTCATCAACTCGTTTGATGTATTGACACCTGCACCTTATGACACTTGATATGGACGGTTGGTTTATATTGCTTATAGTCATAAAGTAGCTTTGCATTATTTTGCATTAAATCACACTGGTAGCAGATAGTTTTTTTAACTGAAAAAATTCATTCAGGGGCCAGTGTAGCTCCCATTGCGTGCCTACGTTACATTAACATCTAGGAAATTGACCATGTGCTTGTGCAAGCTGTTTTTCGTGCAGATATATTTGTTGACTGCAATGGTTGTTTATGTTGAACACTCTGACGAAACAGTCAGTGAGTTTTATTGTATTTCATGTTAATTTTAATTTTGCCGCTAAAGAGTAATTTCTTTTCGTAGAAAAACCAACGTTACATCACTGAAATTGCTGCAAGGGTTGAGTTTTCAATTTCAAGTTTATTGTTATGCGGTTTTGCAAACTGCGTAACAACAACCAAGAGTTCTGAAATCGAACGTTCAATTGGATTTGATTACCCCTAAATCTTTTAGTGACTTTGGTTATGTTTGATTACAGGATCAATCAAACTCAATCTGTGGATTGAGTTTTGATTAAGTTCGATTGACTTTGATTAAAATTCTGTTCAAGTTTGTTCAATTAGCTATGCCAGGCATTCTTGATGAAAAAAAAAAAAGATTGACCATTACTCATCAGAATGTGGGAAAGGGGCGGAAAACATTGAGGTTGCATTGTTATCAAAAGCCTGTGGGATTCCCACAAAAGCCTGCATTTGAGGACATATACCCCATGTTCCAGGTCACATTCAAAGTCGCAATCTGTATCATGGGATCGATCAAAATGACGTGAGCCCCAAAAAGAGAAGGATTTGTCTTCAAATGCCTAAAATCCTTCCTCGTCAAGTACTACAAAAGTAAGAGCATCTAGCGACCATCAAAAAGGTTATTTAGCAAATAGTATTGATTTCTGGACAATGAAAGGAGCGATTTGAGAATACCCAATGACCAATTACATGTCTGTTTATCTGACTTGTGAAACGAAGCCTTGGAAACGAAATTACGCCTAAGCGTACAAAAAGGATAAGGATCTGTGTTTTCTACAAATGTGGTGGAGGAATACCAGGGGCTTTTGTTTTTTATTGTCAAATTGATTGACAACTGCATGTTGCATAGGCATTTCATTCCTAGAACAGTGTTTGAGTTTTGGGTCCTGAATTTTTATTTTTGAAACCTGCACAACTCCTGGAAGGCTCACATAGTATTTGTAGTGCAAATCCTGGATACCAAATTAATAAAAATTTTTGAAACCTTCAAATTAGAAATTTGAATTAGAAATATATTAATTCTACCCATGTCTGGGTTTCATTGGTATCAGGAGTGTGGAAAATTAGGACTTGCTCCTCAAAGAATTACAAAATGGTCTAGGAGAACAGTAAAATGACCACAAGCAATTTATTTCCAAAGTTGCTAACATTTTTGATGTTCGTAAAGAACTAATTTGTGACATACGAGTTTCCACTCAGTCTTTGCAATGAAGTGGTTAAGGTTGAAATTGAGGAAGGAGATCACAGTGGCCTCCACCATGCCATTGATGTGCTCATGGGATTATTCTAAATTAACCGTTGAGGTCAAACTTGAGCCAGGTGCTGCAGAACCTCTCACTGTTAAAGTTAAATGAGTGGTGCATACCAAGGAGGTTATTGCAGAACTGAAAAGAGAAATGGGGCTGCATGATAGTAGAGGCAAGCGCTCACGTTCACGTTTTTTTTTTATATGCAAAATGGACTGCCCAGTGTGATCAGTTAACGGCTGAAGATTCTTGGTGTCCGTTACAATTTGACAAGCTACAGGCTGGAGTAAAGTTGTTATTTAGAAATGAGGGCCATCTCCTTATCCATCCCAGATTATCTGTCCAATTTACAAGGAAATTGGAGTGTGAAGCTCAATGAACTGGCTATGGGCACTATCACAACACCGCAGAGAGAAACACCTTGAAGACTCCAAAGGCATTGACATTGACAACTTTATCACTCAAGAGGAGTTGGATAAAGAAGGTAGACTTCCTGAAGGACTGGTCTTTACAGACAAAATGGTAGCAACTCCAAAGGTCAGAGCAATGGTCCTGGCCCATGACATTTCTCAAGGATACTTACATGAAATGTAGCATTTTTGACAATAATGAAAATCTTTCCATTCTTTATTGGGAGTCTTTTTCAGGAGTTCATAAGCTGCTGTAAAATTTTTTAATTCATGATGCATTTGTCACCAGGAAGAACCATTCTTATATCGCTGCCTGTACTTATGAAGACTCATCAGAGTAATTTTTTTTGCGTATGAATGATGTGACATGATTTGGCATTTAATTTATATAATT